CCCCAAAACCCCAAAACCCCAAAACCCCAAAACCCCAAAACCCCTTTTCTTGAGCTTAATATTGAAATTTATAGTTCACTTCTTTGAAGCATTTCTGGGTTAATAATGTCGTATTCCCCACGGAAGTATTCAATATTTCTCTTTTTCACTTGCTCTCATTTTTCGAATTCCTTTGTAGCCCAGAAGCAAGCATGAAGGTGCTTCCATAAATGCTCAGCATCTGGATTAAGAGCAATAGCATTCATGAATTTTCCAGCAGCTTCATCAAATCTATCTCGATTTCAATAAGCTACTCCTACGTTAGCCCAAGTTCTCACTAAGTTAGGTCTCAACGCCAATGCTCTGTCATACATTTGTAGGGCATCATCAGTTCTGAGATGGTTTGCTAGTGCAGCTCCTAACTTATTGCAGTAATTGTAATTATTTGGTTCTCTTTCGACGGCTTGACCAAAGTATTCAGCGGCTCCTCTATAATTCCTCTCTCCAAACTCAACCACTCCAAGACAGATGAGAACATCAACATCGTTAGGGTTTTTAGCAAGAGCTTGATTTAAAAGCCCTCTCAGCTCATCTCTCAACAAATCTTGATCCTCAATATGTTCTTGAGGGATTGGCAAGTCACTGTAATCGAGGTGATATCTCAACCAATCAAGGAGGTGATTCATTGCAACTTTTGGATTTAATTCATTTGTACAGGATACTCCTAGATATAACAAAGATTCTCAGTCATAAGGATCAAGCTCATAAGCCTTCAGGAGATAAGCAATAGCCTTATCATCCTCATCATTCTCTTGATACAGTTGACCAAGCATCCTCCAGCTTGGAGCATGCTCAGGCTCTTTAGTGAGATGAGCTTTAAGTGCTAAAATTGCATCATGCACCTTTAGCTCTTCATTTAGCTGACAAGCTAATGTATATGCGTCTTCAACATTGGAATATGGATTATCTTCCTCAAATTTGAAATGATCAACCTTAGGGACTTGGATCACTGTCTCAGTTGGAGGCTGTGTTAGGGTTTCTTCATAGAAATCTTGACTCTTCATTGCTTGGGCTTTCCAATTGGCCATCATTTTTTGAAGTTCATCCTCCTTTAGTTCATCTGCATTCCAGCTATCTTTAAAGAACTCATGAGGATCAAAGTTTGTGAAGGGGTCTTTCTCTTTAATGATTCCTTCTTCTCCATAGAATTTTTGGTTTTCTTTGGTTTCTTCCAAATTTCCGTCTATAGGGTCTTTATACCACTCAGCATCCATCCTGGCTTTCTTGAGTGCTGCATCTTCAAATTCTTTCATTTTCTGTGGGTTTTCCTTCAATCCATTTTCGTCGACTTCTAATGCACCTGAGTTCATCTGCTTAAGGAAACCTAAAAACTGGCTATTTTGCATTTTCTCGCTGGGGACTTGGCTAAGCTTGTTGATTAGATATGCTGTACTCTCTTTCATATCATCTTTAAGCATCTGGTCATCTACTTTAACTACTTCTGGGACTTCTTCTACCTTAATCTCCTCAGTGGGCTGCTGTGTTGTTGGAGCCATTGTCTGAGGTCCCATACCCATCGGGGGATACATCATCGGTCCCATCATTCCTGGAAGTCCTGTGAAATTCTGAGCATGAACAGGCATGTTAGAGAATTTATGCTCGATAGCTTCTATATCTGCATGTTTATTTGTTTCTACTGGATTGTTCCATAAATTATTCATTTGATCGATATTTGGCTGGCTTATATGTTCTTGAGGAGCAGGGGCTTGTGGCATTACTTGTTGAGGCATGCTCATAGCATCAAACTGCTTTGTCATTGCCTCCATTTTCTGTTGATCAGCATAAGCTGCTTCCATCTGTGCAATATTTGAAGAATCCATTTGAGGTACAAACCCTTCTGCCTTTTGAGATGCACTAGCTCCTCCACTAACCATATAATCAATCATATTAGTGAAAGCATTGTTTCCCATAGTTTGCTCTTGTCCTCCTGGAGCTCATGCTCCACCTGTGAATGCTTTTCTCATTGCCATTTTATGACGTATTTATTTCCTAAAAGTTTGCAATTTAATAGTGTCTAAAAGGGGTTTTGGGGTTTTGGGGTTTTGGGGTTTTGGGGTTTTGGGG